ACACAAACAGATGGAGAAATATACCGTGTTCATGGATTGGAAGAATCAATATTGTCAAAATGGCTATACTACCCAAAGCAATCTATAGATTCAATGCAATCCCTATCAAACTACCAACGGTATTTTTCACAGAACTAGAACAAATAATTTCACAATTTGTATGGAAATACAAAAAACCTCTAATAGCCAAAGTAACCTTGAGAAAGAAGAATGGAACTGGAGGAACCAGTGCATTCTCTTGGCAGAACTCTATTAGCATTTGCCCTGCTTCATTCTGTATTCCAATGCCAAATTTTCCTGTTACTCCAGGTTTTTCTTGACTCCCTACTTTTGTATTCCAGTTCCCTACAATGAAAAAGACATCTCTTTTGGGTTTTATTTCTAAAAGGTCTTATACATCTTCATAGAACTATTCAACTTCAGCTTCATCAGCATTACTGGTCAGGGCATAGACTTGGATTACCGTGATATTGAGCGGTTTGCTTTAGAAATGAACAGAGATCATTCTGTCGTTTTTGAGATTACATCCAAGTACTGTTTTTGGACTCTTGCTGGCATATTATAAATATGTATGTATAAAATGATATATACAATATACAACAGAAGTCAAACAAGCCCCTTTTTCATATGAAGCATAGGAATATTAAGAATCATGTAAATGACTTTTCTAAGGCTTTTATAACAAATCATCACAAAATAAGTTTTGAAACAACAGCATATTTATTCTCTTCCAATCTTGGAGGCTAGAAGTCTAAAATGAAGGGATTGATATGAGTGATTCATTCTTTAAGCTTCCTCTGAGGGATAGCCTTTTTCATGGTTTCCTCCTAATTTTCAGTGGTTTGCTGGTAATCTTTGACTTTTTTTTTTTCTTTTTGGCTAGTACATATAGGGGAAAGTGTATGAAAATTCTACTTCACAGATTCATTTATCCTATGAATTAGAAGTATTTTATATCAGTATAAAACAATGAGGTGATGAAACGAGCATATTATACAGAGTGAAGTAATTCAGAAATAGAAAAACAATTAGTGTATATTAATGAATATATACTAGAAAGAATTTATATCTCTATTTATATATATTTATATATACATATTTATATTTATACATATATTTATATGATAAAGAGTTTATCATCTAAGAATGATATTGACAATCTTACATATAAGGCAGCAAAGGAAATGCAAATGAAAAGAACCAACTTTTGGACTCTGTGGGAGAAGGCGAGGGTGGGATGATTTAGAGAATAGTGTTGAAACATGTATATTACCATATGTAAAATAGATGACCAGTGTAAGTTTGATACATGAAGCAAGGACAGCCAGGTGTTCTGAGACAACCCAGAGAGATGGGGTGGGGGGTGGGTAGTGGAATGGGCAGGGGAAGGGGCTTGAGAATGTGTGGAAGACATATACTTGTGGCTCATTTATGTTGATATATGGCAAAAACTGTCACAATATTGTAAAACATTATCCTCCATTAAAATAAATGGATTAATTTAAAAAGTGGGAAAAAAAAAGAGAAATGTATCTGAAGTCTGCAGGATGATGCAACTATTCTCATGTTAAATATTGCGTATATAAGGAAATTTACCAGTAGGTTTCAGAAAGCTAGTATTACTTACTGAACTTGGTGGGCAGCCAAGTAAATTAATCTCCTCTGCTCTCACATGCTGTAAAGACCAATGTCTTCAGCTAACACTGCATCCTTTTCTGAGTTCTCCGTGAGACTCAGAGTATATTCTGCATCAGAACTACCAAGAGCACACATTTGTAGGCTGTTTGTTCCATAGTCTGGAAAAGCTGGAACTGTCTCTTTCACCCAGTGCAGAGAGAATAATTTTAAAGCAATCCAGCAGACAGACCCTCTGTCATGCTGCAAGAGGTTTATGGTCTATGAGTCACTTAACCCCTGGAGATACAGCAGCATTTGTCATAGGGTGTGTGTATGTGGGAGTATACTATGATAGACAGGTATATAGGTGTCTTGTTAGTATGTTTCCCTTTCTCAGTAACAGATTTTTCCCAGGCTGGGTGGAAACCCAGTTGTGTGCTCCTGGGTGTTAGTACCAAACAGTGCAAGGAAACTGTTTCAGAATCCTGAGAGATCAGTAGTCACAAGAAGAGTCAAGTTTCACATGTCTTTGTACATCTGTTTATTCTAATTTTGTAAGATGAAGGGTCTCAGCAAGGAAGAGAGTCATAAAGAAATGTTTAACAGTGAAGTAGCAGTGCTAGAATTCCAGGCTGTGGAAATTCATGGGCTCTGCTTTGAGGGACCTTGAGGTTCAGAACCCTGAGGTAGGGTGTGAATCTGTATAATTACACACAGCAGAGGATGAATAGCTCTTGGCAAATTATGAATTAAACTTCAGAGATTTATGGGTGAAAAGGATGTCCTTTCACTGAATATCAATTACCCCTGGGCTTGGTAACCTGCTTTTAGCTCAAGGCATGAATAGTAGAAACCGTCAAAGCTCTGACAAGCTGTTAGAAAGGGCAATCTCAGAAATAGTGATTTACTGTTAGAAATCCCTATGCTGCTGCAGACTGTAATTACCTTTCCTTATCCTGAGGATATTCCAGGACAGTAGCTACCCAGCACATAAGTTTGTGCCAACTGCTACCATCTTTTTGGAGAGACTGTGGCCTGGTTTTTATCTAGCTGCCAGCCCCTGGGAGACAGTGTACCCACTGCACCTTGGGAGGAGGACTTTGTAGCCTTTCTCATAAATGTTCCTGGGTGTAGCACATAGCATACATGGGGCACATGTGTAAAGGGAAGCAGTGCAAGACGAAGAACCTCAGGACCAGCTGTCCCTACCCTATATAGACAGCAGGAATTTTACCTCAGATTCTTGGCAGAGATGCAGTCTGACTGCCAAGGGTGGGACTGGTGAAGAAGACAGTGAAATGGTAGAACAAGATAAGAGAGTTTTCAGTAGTCTGGCCAGAAGTGACAGCCAACAGCTAGATAGGTGGTGGGTATGATGGTGACTTGTGGGTTCAGGGCGCTGGGGAAGGTATGGAAAGGAGTGTCAAAGTTTTAAAGACTTTCCCTGACATCTTCTTCACCAAGCAAGAGGCTCTGAAACTTTCCTTTACCAAATTAGGGGCTAAATATTAAGTCCTCTAGCTTATTAAGTTGGCTAACTCTTTTTCCAGGGATAATTACTTTACAATGTTGTGTTGGTTCCTACCATTCATCAGCATGAATCAGCCATATGTCTCCTCCCTCTTGAACCTCCCTTCCATCTCCCTCTCTATTTCACCCCTATAGATTGTCTCAAAGTTATGTTCCAGTTATTTTGATTGAAGTATCCCTCAAAACTCCTCAGTAATTGAGCACAGAGCTCTGGGGAAACAGTAACCAGAGGCATCCAGATTGGTAAAGGAAGAAGTAAGATCGTTTCAAGACATACTCTTGTATATGCAAACTGCTAAAAAATCACGAAGAGACATGAACTTATAAGTGAAACCTGAAAAGTTACAGTAAAGGATGCAGCTTAGACAGATTGCAGCTCCCATTGCATATTAATTCAGGACAGATAAACAGCAGTGAAAATTTCAGTGAAGGGACCAGATTCTAGACAAGTGTTGGGGCTGGAAAAATGAAATTCTCAAAGACATACACACTTGTTTTCGGCAAAGTAGAAGCAGAGATTCTCAGAAATTCTACTTTGTTTGTTCTGGGGCACTTTAAAAAAATGAATATTGCAATACAGCAAGTCAGAATTTATTTTTATTTTTTGATTTCCCAGTGTGTATAAAATTTGTATTTCCCTTTTATTGTAGTTTATTAAGTGCAATATCACTATGTCTAAAAATCATTGTGCAATCTTTAATTAAAATTATTATTGATAAAAAATTCCAACCACCAAGTGAGCCTTCAGTTAAAAAAAAAGTGAGCCACTGGACATAGACCACCATAAGAAATGTAATCATGAACATTTTTGGAATAGTTTTTAGTACTGAGATGGAACAAACTCCCAGTTGCTTCTCCAGCATAGATAAGTTTACTCAGGATTAACAAAGAACTGGCAGTTTAGAATCTGCAGTTGTGTTTAAGCCACAGTACACAGAGTCCCTGAGGTTCCATCCAGAGTCCTTGTCAGGAAATAAAAGGACGCTGCTCTGCCTGTGGAAGGTGCGCCATGGTCTCAGGATGTGAGGTCCCTTCTGATAGCCCAAACCTATTTAACTGAGGTTTTTGTTTGTTTATTTTTTTGTACAGGAGACAAGAAGGGATGAAATGACGTTCAAAGATGTTAATAATGAACTTGCAGAGTAAACTGCCACAACTCTTCAATCTGCAAAAAGATGCAATAGCTGTGAAATGCAATGAACAACGTATGCCTGTACTGACCGTTACTCTCAATCATTTCAGGATAATAACACCGAGGTCCCTAGCAAATATAAGGTAACAAGAACAAAAAAGGAGTTTTTACTACTTTCACCTGACCTTGAACTCGTCTTTTGAAATAGCGGAATATTTTCAAAGTTGCCAGAGTACTTTATTGTGATATTGCCCCTAGAAAACCACAATTCCCATTAAGCTGCATGCACAGCACAGTGAATACTCTGCCCTTCTTGTAGTGCGCCCAGTTCCGCCCTAAACCCAAACAGGGAGTGCAAAGTTTGGCGGATCAGTTTGCTAGCACCAGCAGTTCTTTCCACAGTGTCTATTCTCTTCCAGGCAACGTCACCCGGCCTTTCGGTTCTCAGTTTGACCCTGAAGCCGAGTTTAGCCTCAGATAATCCCCAACCCCTCATCCAGGTTTATCCAGTAGAAGCAAACCTTTCACTTGTCACGTGGAGAGCGCCGGGTCAGCGATTGGCTGCTGGGGCTTGGAGTTAGTTGTTAGGTCCTGCGAGCTTCCGGCAATGTGCGGGTTTAGATCCTTGCGTCAGTTTTCCGCGACGCGCGTAGGCTAGGCAGCGCGCGGCAGAGGCGTTGGCACCGAGGCTGAGACGGTTGAGGCCATTCCGGGCAGTTGACTGCATAGCCAGAAGTCCGAAGCCGGTCAGTTTTGGTTGCCACCGGGTGACGGGGGTGGAGTGTGAGAGAGAATTTTACGTTTTGCACGTTTTCCTATTCACTATATTTGGTTATTTTAGTTAACTTTTCCTTCAGAGGGTGAAGATAGGAGGAGGATGTATGTGTTGGGGTAGTCGGGGGAAGAAGTTCAACTTTAATAAATGGGGTCGAGGGACCGCTGGGCCTTCGGGCGGTGTGCGCCGGTTAATTAGAGGAGGCGGTTCAGAACTGTCTTGTTTGTGGGGAAAGAGTGCGGGACAACCCACTCCAGTACTCTTGCTTGGGAAATCCCATGGACGGAAGAGCCTGGTAGGTTACAGTCTGTGGGGTCTCGAAGAGTCGGACACGACTGAGCGACTTCACTTTCACTTTCCACTTTCATGCACTGGGGAAGGAAATGGCAGCTCACTCCGTATTCTTGCTTGGAGAATCCCAGGGACAGAGGAGCCTGGTGGGCTGCCGTCTGTGGGGTCGCACAGAGTCGGACACGACTGACGCGACTTAGCAGCAGCAACAGCAGCAGTTGCCACCTGTGACCGCTGCCTGCGGCGGGTGCCTCGGGGTCCTTTGGGTCCGGTGAGTCGTACGTCCTCTTGCCCACTGATTTCCCTGTATTCCCATCGTTGGCCGCCAGCCTCGGTGGACTGGGAACAAGGACTGCTAGTGGGCGGGTCGCTCTTCAGGGTGTGTTGCGGCAGCTTGGCAAGGCTGTTGCGTACTTAATGGCGCCGAGGTCGGGGCTGCGTTGGGTGGTGTGTGTTTTCCGGTCCTCCGTTGCTTTCTGCCACTAAGCGGATAGCAGGCATCGGTGGCTACCTATTAGAGTTGCTCGGTTTCTCGGCCTGGGCTGTCTGGCATCAGTGATGTGGACGACAACTTGCGGCTTGGAGGGCTTCCCTTCTGGCTCAGAGCTAAATAATTTGGCTGCAAAGCAGGAGACCCCTGGGTCTGGAAGATCCCCTGGAGGAGGAAATTGCAACCGACTCCAGTAGTCTTGCCTGGAGAATTCCGTGGACAGAGGAGCCATAAGGTTGCAAAGAGTCGACACGACTGAGCGGCTCTCCATACACAGGTCTTGGTATAGAAATGATAGTGGAGCATTACGTTGTTTATCTGGTGAAAGGAAAATCTCAATCTCTATTAGGATGGAAAAATCCTTCTGGGATGAGTTTGAGAAAGTTTTTCACAACGACTGTGCTACATACAGTTATATGGTTTTCGGAACCCTGGAGTTGAGAATTGCAGGGAAAGAGCCGTATAACGCAACACTTTTTCTTTCTCTGTTAATTTAAACTTGAAGCGTTTGTTTCTCTTTGAGCCCATAAACTAAAATTTTTGTAGTATCTTCTGTGAACTTCAAAGTTTCATGAACTTTACATTTGAACAAAGTGCGAAGAATTTATTCCACCTGTGTCTGAAGTGAGATTCTTTTGTCTCTATATGAAGGTGTGAATACTTCACACTTGGCTTTTCTCTCTCTCTCCTTGTATTCTGCAAAACAGATTAAGTTCTTGCAGGATTGTGAAAAAAAAACAAAAAAACTGGATGCATAGCACTCTTAAGAATTTGGAATTTCACAGAGGGTACTTCCTCCAAAGACAAATATGATTTTTAAAAAAGGGGTAACTCCGCAGTTTAGGACATTCTAATAAGAGAAATATTATTTTACATAGAAAAAGGAGAAATTAGGGACAATTTTTGAATGAAAGTCTTTAGGAGAAAAGTGAGAGTTCAGCATGATAATTTCTCACTCGCAGAGGTAAGTGGTCCATTTCTTCTAGGGAATACAGTGTCTGTGTTTTCCTTTTAACATTTGTAGTTGGAAGATTTTTTTTTTTTTCCTATTGTAGTGTTAGGTTCTGTAATTCTTAACTCCTCCTATAAGTGCAGTGGTACTGGCTGAAAACTATGGGCCCCTGGGCTCCATTTTGATGAGATTTCTTTTAGTATTCATAGGAATATACATTTCTATACTTTGTATATTTGTTATTTAAGTGAGTCCTCTAACAGAGTAGTGGTTGCTAAAGGGTAAGAGGTTATAGGGGAGGGCAAAATGGGTAAAGTTTATCAAGTATATGATAATGCATGGAAATCATATTTTTGATTGTGTAGAGTATGGGACTTCAAGCTGGCTCAGTGGTAAAGAATCTGCCTGCCAATTCAGGAGACTCAGATTCAGTCTCTGGGTCAGGCATATCCCCTGGAGAAAGGAATGGCTTGGAGAATCCCAGGGACAGAAGAGCCTAGCCAGCTACATTCCAGTTTAGTTCAGTCACTCAGTCATATCTGACTCTTTGTGATCCCATGGACTACAGCACTCCCTGTCCATCACCAACTCCCGGAGTTTACTCAAACTCCTCTCCATTGAGTCTGTGATGCCATCCAATGATCTCATCCTCTGTTATCCCCTTCTCCTCTCTCCTTTACTCTTTCGTAGCATCAGGGTCTTTTCAGATGAGTCAGTCTTCACATCAGGTGGCCAGAATATTGGAGCTTCAGCTTCAGCATCAGTCCTTCCAATGACTGTTCAGGACTGATTTTAGGATGGAGTGATTGTATTTCCTTGCAGTCCATGGTGATGCAGAGTTGGACAGGACTGAGCACCTACACATGGCGTAGGGTATACAAAAGCTGAAATATAAGGCTTACAGTGAAATTCACATAATATTTTATTGTTATTGCAATGAAAAATACATTTCAAATTAAAAATAAAGGTTTGAGGATCATTTTCAGGAGAGCTTGTAACTTGTAAATAATTTATGGGCATTTTGGTCATAGATATTGAGATAGTGTAGGCAATTTTAGGGCATCCCTGATAACTCAGTTGGTAAAAAAATCTACCTGCAATGCAGTAACTGTAACCCTGGTTTAATTCTGGGTCAGGAAGATCCTCTGGAGAAGGGATAGGCTACCCATGCCAGTATTCTTGGGCTTCCCTGTGGTTCAGCTGGTAAAGAATCTGCCTGCAATGCAGGAGACCTTGGTTTGATCCCTGGGTTGGTAAGATACCCTGGAGAAGGGAAAGGCTACCCTTTCCAGTATTCTGGCCTGGAGAATTCCATGGACTGTATAGTCCACGGGGGTCACCAAAAGTCTAAGGGGAGGTGTTAATATGTTTAATCATGCATAAATCTGGGAAGTCAAATGATTTCTTCAACAATAGTAGATGCCTGTGTACTTCAATAAATGAAAGTTTTGAGAAAAGGAAAGTGAGTCATAGCATGTCCTGGGATACTAGTTTTTAAAAATTTGTCATTTTGCCTTTTTATTGCGGAATTTTTTCTGTTTAAGGTAATTTTTGATAGGGAGGAGTTTGCTTTTGCCATTCTGTTGTTTGTTTGCTGTATTTTTTTTTTTCCTTCTCATTTCCTATACTACTGCTTTTTTGTTTGAATTTTTGGTAGTGTAGCATTTAAATTCTCATTTCTTCTTATGTATGCTACTTAGTTTTTTACATTTTGGTTCCCTGGGGATAAAAAAATGACAACTATTTTATATTACTATCAGTGTACCTTCAGTAGTATAGTCTGTTCCTATAGTTGTGCCGACTTCCTTATTGTCATAGATAATTAGCACATTGTGTTAATTTACTATCTCATAAATTTGTTTCAAGTTTTATTTTATTTATTTATTTTTATTAGTTGGAGGCTAATTACTTTACAATATTGTAGTGGTTTTTGCCATACATTGACATGAATCAGCCATGGATTTACATGTGTTCCCCATCCCGATCCCCCCTCCC